ATTTCTGTGATTATATTAACAAAAACACAACATTTCATTATAAAGTTGTGATTTTAATAATAATATATATTTGATATTGTATGTAGAAATCATTGTCTATATGGACAAAAAAAATGCTGTTGAGGGCTCCCTGGTGGCCACGGTTGGTCACAGTAATATAAGCTCCAATGTGCAGCACATATCCAAACCTCCAAAGCACCGGTGGAAGATAAGTTATCAAAACAACGTCATGAAAAAGAACTTTCCTTCAGGGATAGAGAAAAGAAGGAGAAGAATAGAAAAAAGCCAAGATAAGGGTTTGTTTGCATGTATGCCTGGACTTTTATAAACCAATAGCTAAGCAAAATTTGTTTTTGGGGTCCTCTATTTCTACTAATAATGTGGATTGCTGCAATCAACAGTCAGACAATTAAATCATTCACACACCTCCAAAACTTAGTGCATCTCTGACAGTGCTTCTTACATTATATCCTATATGCATATATCATGTATGATACATTTATCTGCGCCAATTTCCTTAATTTTGAGGACTGCATCCTGAGTGTTCGGCATGTGGACAAAAAGTATACCCTAAACCTTGACACAAAGATGTCACTGACTCTGAGGATAGTTGAGTTGAATTTTTAATTACAACATTTAGACATCATTTGAAAGACAGAATACAATGTTAATGTAAACACACAACAAACCCAGTTTCCTTAAAATTAGTTTGTCTAAAATTCTTTCATGGAAAATCATATGAACATTTTTTTTCTTTTATATTATAGATCATTAACTTGCATTCAGCAGATATATAGATATATCATTTTTGTTGTCCCATCACTCCTGCTTTTGCCTAATGGGATCAAATTGAAATGTGCAGTTACTATTTTTCCTACATGTCTGAATCAGTGCTTTCCTGGACTGTATCTGTCCAGTCGGCATCAGATCAGATCCCTGACCTGATGCTGACGAAAACATCAGGTCAGGGACAGACAGCATCTGTCCAGGACTGATCCACCCCATCAGTAATCAGGACAGGCTTTCTGATTACAGTAATCAGAAAGTACCGGCCGGTGCACTCTGTAAAAACTCCAAGCAAAATTTATTAAAAAAAAAAAAAAAAAA